TGCTAACAGGGCTGGCTGGAGAATGAGTGCTTCAGTGTGGAGGCTGCTTGCTGGCTAGCCCTGCACTGGAGCACCCTTATGACCCAGCCAGCCCCTCCACAGCACACGGAACCAGCTCGGAGCAGCCCCAGGCTGGCGGGATGATGCCCCAGGCCCCTGCCAGCCAAAGCTGCCCTGTCCTGGCTCAATGTGCTGTGGTCCCAGGAGCAATAAACACAATATAAGTGCTGGAATTTATTGCATCACATGAATTCGCATGTAGATGAACCCAGAATGGAGAAGGTAGAGAAAGCATTTATAGCATCACAAGGTGAACACCTGGTGAGTTTGGAGCTCTTTATTATTACACAACACTTGGCAACAGAAATAATTCAATAGCTTTCTCACTATGATTTAAATACAGCCTAGGAGCAATGTTTTGTTCAGGACGCTCTTGAAAAGGAGGCAGGCACACAAAAGGCCCCAGAGCAGTGGAATAAGGCAAAATGTCACAATATATTAGCAGATAATATTAGCCACAGGCTAATATTAGCCATAGCTGTTTATAGAACATGGCTTGATGGGAAGGCGAATTTTCCCCGGCTTCTTCTTCAATAAAAACCTCAAGGGCAGGGAGAGGAGATAGTAATTGCCGACAGGTATATCGCTAGATAAACATTTGAGGGGAAATTGTTCCTCCTCCTCTGTGGCTGCAGAACACTCAGACAACAGAGAAACCAGCACAATTTCACTGATGATTTGGAGACCTTTCAGAAGGGTGGATACTCATTGTGTGCCAGGGAACTTTGCTCCAGCAGGGCTTCTAGCATTCCCTGGCACAGGAGAGGGAGGGCTGGGGTGAGGAGGGTGGGTGGTGTATCTCATTTACACAGACCCTTTAGAAATGTGTCTCATTCCACTGTAGGGATGAAAGTCTTGTAGGGATGATCCTCTCGCTCTGAGACTGGCTTAGTGGCTGAGGAGTGGTCATGCTGCCACTTCATTACCAAGTTGTGGGGTGGGGAGGATTCTGTTCATCACCCCTGAGAAACTCGGACTTGGCACAAGGCTGAGGGAGATTTATCCTCAAGGAAGGAGTGGCAACATTTAGGGCCGTACCAGGACATTTAGTAATAAGATGTGATAGAATGCATCTGAGAACAGGCACAGTTCACATTTGTACAGTGCATACAGTGGGGAACTATTTTTCAGACTGTGGAAGTTTCCCAAAGGTGTTTAAGACATTTAAAGCTAGATTTGATAAAACACTAGAAAATTCAAATTACAGAACAGTCCTCACTGGCAGGGGAACAGTGTGAACAGCCAAATAGACCTTTCTATCTCCACCTTCTCTCATTCTAATGACAGGCTAATGTCTACCTGAAATGGAAATATAATAGAAACTCCTTGCTTAAATACTCTAATTAGCAATCAACATTTTGTCCAAATCTGTGTGTGGTAAAATACCAGGGTTTTTATTCAGAGGCAGATATAAATGTAGAATATATCTGCTTCCAATGAAGCCCTCAGACTGCCTTGTACTTACTCACACTATCAGTACCTGACTGTCAGCAATCCTCAGGAAGCTGATGGGGATACTTAGATTACCAGGCAGTGTGAAGAGGGTAGCAGACTCTTTTCCCTTACAAAATGGGCTCAAAACAACCCCCATTAAAGGCAGTGGGAGAAATTCCCATCGATTCCTTTTGGAACTGGATTGGGCCCCATTCAGGAACCTGGCTACAATAGATTAATATTTAAAAAAAAACAAAAATGAAAGCTGGGCTGAACAATAAAATGGATAAAAGACACCAATTACCCCAGTCCTTAATAATTAACTGTGGGACCTTCAATGAACTTAGTACCTGAGTGTGGAATTTGGAATCTGACCTTTACTACATTTAGATAAACAGTGCTGCAGATTCAGAGGTGCTCTCTGCCACTTCCGTCCAGTTTAAGGAGTTCTCTCCTGGGCAGCTCTAACATTCCCAGTTTCAGTCACTAAGGAGAGTAGAGCATGATTCTTCTAACTGTGCTTTTCCTCTGCATCATTTCCACATACTCAGCCTCTGTTAAAGGTAGGTCTATGCCATGTTAATCTTTTGGTGATAATATTGGTGAATGTATGCTTATATCTTTTTACAACAGAAAGGAAGCCCTTATGTCAAGTGTTTCTCCTGCAACATGGTTTTTAATTGCATGCACTAAATAATAACTATGCAGCTTAAATAAGTGTAATGATCCTTCTTTTCCTTTCTGTGTCCTTGTGACAAGGTATTTAACAGAATTTGCTGATTCGTTGGAATTTGACAGGGCTGCACCATAAGTGCTTCTGCTATGGCCTTACATTTATGACTTCTGGGCTGTCAACATGTGCCTTGGCGCCCATCCCCTAGTGTAATGATTATTGCAGCAGAATTTGGGGAAGAAGCAAAGTGATCAAGTGCACAGTTCATGGGGCTGGCAGGAATCGGGAAACCTGGGTTCCCTTCTTTGCTCTACCACTGACATACTGCATGACCACTGACATCAAAGAAACTATTTACATACTTAGAGTTAAACATATGTTGAAGTGCTTTGGTGGATTGGAGCCGGACGACTCTGTACTTTGAGAATCAGTCTCTATGCATTCGATCCAGTTCCCATTAAAGTAATGCAAAAGACCCCCACTTAGCTTCACTGGGAGCTGGATGGTGGTGCAGTCATCCACCCTGGCAATCTTCAAAAAGCGTCCTGACGCCCATCTTGCTGGGGTCATCTGATCCCAGCGGTCTTTCCTGCCCAAGTGCAGGGGGGCTGGACCTGATGATCTGTAAGGTCCCTTCCAGCCCCTAACAACTATGAAACTATGGATCTGCTCTAAGAGTAAAGTTCTGGACACCCACATTTGCTCTAAATAAAAAGGCTTTGTGTAGGTACCCTGCACAAGGTCAAGGGTACAAAATCCACACATGGGGACTAGACTCTTCAGGCTCATGCTGTCAGGTCATGGAACAGGGAAAACTGTCTTTCCACAAAGGCTGTGTGTGCCTACTTTGCCACTGTTTGTAAAAGATGAGCTAAATTTGCAAAAGTTGTAAGCCAGTTTGCATTTTGAGTGAAAGGGAACTAAGAGTATTCTGCAGCACCAGTCAGTGCACTGAACATGCCATTCCTAAAACCCAGACAAACCTTCATTCATGCAATTTAATGAAGGTGTCCTGAATGAGAATGTAAAGGTGTGAGTGTCATCCCTCCAATCTTGGGCTAGACTGTGGGGCAGTCTGTGGGATGGGTTAACAGTTGCTGTCCCTTTCTGTCCCTTGAGTAGAAGATCTGAGTCACTGGATCTGTTTAAGCACAGACCAGTAGTTTCTCCCCCATCTCACTTCCACCTGAACCCCGTTGCTCCTTTTTATACTAGCATAGCTGGAGCTAAAATGGAACCCAACTCCCTCAGTTTTGGGGGAGCTATGTTCCTTCTGGTCATCTACTGGGCCCACCTTCCCCCACAGGAGTTGCAAAGTGTAGTGGTATACAGCCCCTCTATGAGTAGCTGAATTTAACTGGACTGCCAATAAAGTTCTTATTCTACAGCTACTCATGTCAAAATGTCAAAATTCTGGTATCTACTCTTTCTGGATTCAATGTAAAATTAATTTAGCAAAATTGTTCCTTGATATAAAAAACCATATAGCATTATACATCTCTAGTGCAGTACATCAACAGTAACTGATTACCAGATCTTCAAAAGAACCCTGTTAGGTCTCGTTATCTTGATTGTAGAGGTGGGGGAACAAGACTTAGAAACTAAGCAACTTGTCCATGGCCAAACAATATAGTTAGTGGCAGAGCTGGGATTGGGATATGTTTGTGTCTCAATCCAGCCAAAAAATACTTAAGTAGTATTCTTTACATTTAATCAACCAGCTAATTGCACACATTACATTTCTTGTGGTAGTTGCATCTTAAAATATTTTCAAACAAACATGGGTTTTGGTTTTGAAAGCTATCCAATGTCACCAGAACTGGCAAATGTAAATTTATGGCCTTAGAGCCAGCTAGTGGTTAGAGACGCACGTTGTGCATGCCAAATGTATTAATAAAAGGCACAGGACTTGACAGCTGTCTCTGCTCATACAGCTTAACCTTCTGTATTATACAGTATCACAATTTAATTATAGAATTGGCATCTTACCCCTAATGACAGACACTTAACATTACTAGTCAAACTATGTGTTATGCACTCCACCTTGAATACTACATAGTTCATGCAGACATTTCTGATTCTAGGACAGCATGGCAGAATGAAATCTGGGTGTCCCATCCTTCTGCTCATTAAGCCAGTAGGAGTTTTGCCCCTCACAGCAGTGGAAAAAGGATAAGGGGCTAAAAAAATCCCAACTCATTGTGTAGGATACATAGACCAGAGCTCCTAAGGGCAGCGTAATGCCAGTGTTTAACAAGACACACACACTCTCTCACAAATAATAGAAATATTCCTCCTTAAACAGCTCTGTAATTTTCCTTGTGAAGGAAATGATAAGTGTATTTATTAAAGGTATTTTCAGTAATGGTTCTATTTGTAGCATGAACCTCTCTACAAATATACAGCCTTTAATCCCTTTGGTGGCTTTCTCTTTTCTATTGCAATATGTTTGCAATAAGTTTGCTTTTACTTCTTGTGCTTGCCTTCAAAACTCTGCTCTGTTCCCTACTTATTCTCCCTAGGCTGTTAACACATCTCCCACCACAATCCCTTTCTCCCTTGATGATGTCAGTTTTGTAAGCCAGTTTACCCGTTTCCTTGAAAACAATCTCTCTTCCATGCTACTTCCTACACATGGGATATCTTTTCTGAGGGGCTATACAAAGTTACTAACCTCTTCATATTTATGTCCCTCCTACTCACCTCATTTCCTCCATGATACTCACAAGAAACTAGGCCCCCAAATAATCCATTTATCTATTTCCTGCATGAGCTAACTGCTTTTACATGAAGAGGGGAAGAAATATTGAAAGGGAGATACATGAAGGGTATATTAACTGAGAATTACTGTAGAAAAAAATAACCATGGGCTTAATGGTGGAGAAAAAATGGAAAAAAGTCAATTTAATTTAACATAAAAAAGAGAATCAATGTAGCCAATAGGACATGTCCATCACCACCTTAATTGTTTTCCATGCACGTGCTCTGCTTGCCCTTTCTGTCTCTTTTTAGGTTGCATGAATATTGTGGGAAGGGCTGTAGAAAGAATGTGACATGTTACAGTACTGCAATTTCACTTGATACTACATAACTGCATAATAAATAATTAAAAACACAGGTTGTGCTGAAATACAGCATGCTTAAAATGAGAAACAAAACTTCAGCAAGCATTTACTTCAAGGAACTGGGGTCTGTTCTTGAAAGGTGTTGGCACGTTCACAAAAAGGTGATCCTTTCATCTCCCAGTAAGGCCAAATTCAGTTGCCAAGTTGGTAGAATGCAGAGTGCACTTTACAGGTAGCAGTCACATGTTTTCTAGGAGTAGACCCTCTATTTGTTAAAGATTTCAGTGAGTGCTTACCAGCATTATTACTTTAGCAAGGAAAGAGATCACAGTTCTAAACTTCAGCTCTATTATGGCACTAGTTCTCTTGACCTGAACAAATAGTCCACTTCCCAGGAATGGCAAGATCCTGAACTGATGCAAATCCATCAAGTTTTACTGAACGTCTATGGAACTAAAACAGTTTACACCAACTGACTCTTTCTGGTTGCAGTTTGCCACATAGGAGTCAAAACAACTGAGACATACTGCTATCTTAGCATACTATTGGCCACCACACCTGAAGTAGTCCCAATGTGCAGCGATCTAAGGAGGGATATTTTGTGCCTAAAATCTTGTATAAAAATCTCTATGAACAATAAAGTTGATCCAATAAATGGTATTTCCAAATAAATCTTGCTCCTTACCCCATTTGAAAACATATGCCCAAAAACTAGGACAGTGTCTTGAGAGATTTTTATTATTTATGAACGCTTCAGTTCTTAAAAAAATCCATGCTATTGTGATGGATCTCAAATGTGTTTTTAATGAAAAACAAGATTTTCCATGTTGTTAATACCTGCCAATTGGATAAAGAAATACCTTGCATTTTTCCATGACCCAGTTAACTGAAATATTTATTTATCAGAATCAAATCAAATGGGAAACCATGGCATGCCAAGAGACAGATTCATCCCTTCTGTCAAAGATAATACTCTCTTTTCTGGCTTAACTCTGCTGTACAGTTTTGAATGAAGCTTCTGCAGTAAAGGTTTGATTCTGCACCCATTAATGTCTAGATAGAATAGAATTAGCTCACTATGGTTACAAACAGCATTAATATCACTACAAAACTAGAAACAGATTGTGGGTGGACAAAAATCTCAGTTTTTCCCGTGAAATCCTGTGGATTTGATAGCAATTTGTGTATAGTTAGTTTCACAGCCTCCATTCCTTCCAACTATTTTGTGAGCGAGTTAATTCTCTCTGTGGAAAAGTACTTTACAGCCAGAAACAGGAGAGGAGAAAAACCTTGTAAACGCAATAAAGGGCATTTATGTATAAACTAGCCAATTGTCCGTCAGGAATGACAGTGGTGGGGAGGGGGGAGTGGGTGGGGACAGAGCTCTCCCACTGCCTCCCAGGAGCAGGGGGCAGGAAGCTTGCCCCACTGTCCCCTCTGCTCCCTTTGGCCAACACCCTGCCCTGCCCCCTCTGCCATGGCACTGCGCCGCCACCGCTGCCTCCTGCCTGGAACACTCTTGGCGCATTCTGATTGTTTGTTTCAGTAACCAATCAGTGCTCCAAGAGCGTTATGGACAGACAGACAGGCAGACTAAGCCCTTTATTATATTAGAATTTACAGTGTTCCTTTAGCAACAAACCTCTTTTCATACCATTTAAAGGGCAAACACAACATAAAAGTCAATGATAACACCACACAGAATGAACAACACATCCAGGCCATCGGGGGAAAATCTAGCTTCTCCTGGGGCTGTAAGGAGCCCTGAACAATGGCACTGTGGTGCGATGTGTGATCTGTACATAGGGTTGTACTTGAGAATAGA